CGGCGACACATTCTTACACCAGTGCGCCAGTCGTCAGTCGCTGGACTTCAGGTGCCTCCATACTTACCACTTTTGCCCCCGCCGTCTCAATGTCCTTCTTGCACTCAGGCCACCTCGAGGGATCGACTGCTCTCGTGCCATCCTCTACTAGGTATGCCTTGAAGCCCTCCTTCGCCGCATCGAGAGCCGCGCTCTTGACGCAGTAATCTGCCGCCAGCCCTACCACATACACGTCTGTGATGTGGTTCTCCCGCAACAAACCAGCGAGTCCACTATCGCACACACGCGGCGAGGTGAAGGGATCGTAGAAAGGACTGTACATCTCGACGCGCGGGTCTGTGCCCTTCTCGATGATCCGGTCGATCTTCTTTACCTCCAACTCGGGCACCAGCTCGGCGCCCTTGGTGCCCTGCACGCAGTGTACGGGCCATAGTTTAGACTCGTAGCTCTCAGACGCATTGTCCGGGTTGACGATCTTGACGAAGTCCGTGTACGGCTGCTTGCCTTGGTGGTTTGCGGCGAAGGAGATATGGTCGTGAGGGTGCCAGTCTTTAGTCGCGATCTTGGTGACAAAAGGTAGCTCCAGGAGCTTGTTGATCACGGGAATGACGTCTCGGCCTTCAGATACGGCAAGTGATCCATTCTATTCATCGTCAGGAGCTTGGACGCCATGACCGATAACCAGAACTTTTGCAAACAGAGTAGTCTCACTCACGGGAGGGCAGAAGTCCTCCTGAAGGTCCACCACAATCAGCGCGGGTCTGAAATGGCCAGCCATTGGAACATGCGGACAGGTTCGAGATGTTGTAAGAACAGAATCGATCCAGCTCTTATTTATGTGTTTCTAGGAGATATCCAGGACCAAACGGCCGGACACGACGGCTCTAGAATGAAGGTGGGCAGATAGCGATATCAGAATGCGGGGCTGAGCCTTCTGTCTTCCCTCAACGTTGACGTACCTTGTAGCTAAGATATTAGCACCAGGCAGGCACGACTTGACTAAATCTTAAACTCAACTTTAAAGCCAATTATGAGATGCGGCCAAAGCTCCCTAGTTAGAAACTTAAATTATCATGCATGTTATCTGTATGTATTTGATCGAAGTCGAGATTGAGTTCGGCTCATTGTCTCATTATTACCTGGACACCTTGGTAGGTATACCTATAAAATATAGGTATCTGTATTCAACACCCCTCCTAAGATGACTGCACCTGCATAGTCACATACGAATGAGCAGGAACCCCAAGATAAGCAGGGGATCAATTGCAGTGAATCAAATACATATCCTAAGTACCTAATATACACCCAAAATGCCAATCAACTACTAGCTCTCGAGGTTTACCCAAAAGGAGTTAGGTAGTTCTTCTGCCTTTTTTTTCTTTTCTTTTCTTTGCTCCCCTCCCCCCTATTACCATCCTACTCTTCCTGATTCTTCTTAATAAAAGCACCAACCAGAGCCGCCACGCCTGCGGCGCTCTCCTGCCGCCCGAGCGAGTCCCCCAAGAGCAGCGTGTCGTGGGGCGCGCCAGCCTCGTAGTTGACCTCGACGACGTTGCCCTTGACTCCGGCCATCTCGCGCGCCCACTCCGTGCCGTCGGCCTCGAACAGCTCCGCGGTCCCGAGGTTGACGAACACGGGCACGGGCGTCGCGAACGGCCGGCCCTGCGGCGTGATGTAGGGGTCCGTCGCGGCGACGAGGCGCGCGTACTCCCGGGCGCCCCAGTGCAGGATGCTGTGCGTCAGCAGGTCGGTCGCGTAGTGCGGGTTGCTCGTCGTGCGGACGGCCGGCCCGAGGCTGTTGGCCGGCGTGGTCCACGGCGAGATCAGCACCGCGCTCTGCGGCTGCGGGATCCCGAGCGAGTCCCCGAACTCGGCGAGGTACCGCAGCAGCCCGATGGCGATGTTGCCGCCGGCGCTGTCGCCCGACACCGTGATGTTCCGGGGCGAGATCCCCTCGTTCCGCACGAGGTATAGATAGCTGGTCAGGCTGTCCTGGAGCGCGGCGGGGAAGGGATCCGAGGTCGGTCGGCACGCGAGGCGGTACTGCGGCATGAATACGGCGGTGGCACCGGCGTGCTGGATCAGATTCGATGCGCAGTAACCTGACTTGTCTATCCGGCCATCTCCCGTGATGAAGGCGCCTCCGTGGAGATGAAGGACCACCGTCTTATGCGAATCCAGATTCTTGAGATTGGCTGGCCTCTTCGGATACCACGTGCCGCCGATCGTAGCGGGGGCCACGACACTGTTCTTCAGGGGTCCCTTGTACGCGTCCGCAGAAGCCGGCTCGATTATTACGAATTGGTCTTTCTCTTTGCCTGGTTCCAAAGACAGCGTCTCCGAAACCTCTGCCTTGCCTACCATATCCACGAGTTCTTTTGCTGCCCGCATCAATAATGTCTGCTTGAGTGTCCACTTAGGATGAAGTCTCCAACCGGGAACGAGGGCGAAACTGAGAACCCATAGTGGAAGGCGAGCCAAGATAGAACTGATGTGAAGGAGCTGATAGGCCAAGCTCACCGGCGCATACGAGGTCAGTGACTGCCCAGATGCGGTCGTCTCAGGGGAACCCATGGCTACGCAATCGAGCGAGAATAGTTTAATGCCTATAAAAAGCTTCTCTCGTGGTAGAACGAGTCAATGGGTTGGCACGACATCCAAGAGCTTTCTGCGCGTAGCGTTGAGATTCGTGGATAAGTTCCTCAAGTGATGGAGGGCAGAGACTTGTACGCCATTAAATAACCTCTTTTACGCCTCATCCTGGGCAGTCCGGGTGCGGGGTGTCTTTGTTTCAATATTGATTGAGATGGTAGTCTGTAAGAAAGGCTGTGGTAGGCTAAACTTGCACTTCTGGCTCTAATTGTCTTGCCCGCTTAATAACCCAAGGGAGTGCAACGCTTTGTTCGCCTGGCAACAGGAGGAGGGCAAATCAAACCCTCCGTTACCACCCTCCTGCATATACAATATACCCTGAGGTCCTTCTCGTCAGCCTGCCAAGATATCAGTGTGGGAAAATCTTCCTGGTCGGGAGAATTATGCGGCTCTTTTGTGGATGTAGGATACCCTGTACATTGTTCATCTTCCCAATATATAGCAGCCTTGCTAGTTCCACGATACCAACAGTACCTACAACGAGATACCTTTTCTCTGGAGCAAAGCAGCAAGCTTCAATGATAGCCAAGAAACCTGAGTCAATATTCTAACCTGTCACGATGTGAGTCCCTTGACGATAAGCAACAAAGCAGTTGCACGACTGGAGGGGCTAGAACTCGGGCTATTGACGCAGACAGGCAATCCCTTACACCTAGACTTGCTCTGCGTAACCCTGGCTTCCTGGTAAGTAATACAACTTGGTGCCTCACCGCTACAAGCCACAATGTAGGCTTAGCACATAGGGGATCAGAAAGCTTGTTATTGACATAACCTTTGATACCCGAGTTGGCCTAGACAACTCAGTAGGCCGATATTTTATTCATTTAATACGACAACTATTCCTAGTAGGTGTTGTGCCAGGCAAAAGGCAAAAGGCAAAAATATTTTGTACAGCCTGCTTTGAGCAAGTCTTCGATAACCTATCACGTTATTAACACAGGTCGGTATATTTGAAATTTGCATTGGAAGTACATGATCAAACCGGCCGATAGAGTTGCTTGAACTTTCCAACTTGAGGTGGCATGTAGTTGATTTTCATTGGCTGAAACCTCACATGCATTGATGTATATCAATGCAACATTGATTTAATGCACCGCTATTACACAATAGGCTCGCCAAAAGATGCAGGCGACATGTAATATATATGAATCCATGTGAACCAACACAAACCAATATGGTCCATAAAAATGCACTATAGAATGTTTTTTAAAATAGGCGAGGTAAATATTGTAAGTAGATATCAAGGATTTCCTCATATGAAATTGAAACCCACTATGCTGTTTATCCTTGAAACATTTCATGTCTTGCACTTGAGATTCATATATAGATTTCTTAAAACGAAGAAATAAGGAAAGAGACTAGGTACCTATTATATTATTATAGGTAAGCAGTATTTGAAAGGTCTCGCCTCTCTTTTATATAAGATGTCAAGACACATGATTTAGAAGAACTGGACATATGTATGTAGTATTTTTTCTGACTTCCGATATTCAAGTCAATATGTCGATATCGCTTATACTCTCGACAATATTTCCTCTTGGCAATCTTCAGCCGTCCACTTTTCTAAAGCGCATTTTACACACAGACTATACCACTTTACTTTACCAAACTTCCAACACATGCGGCAGCAGCCCCTTTCGTTAATTTCTCAACAACCCATTGGTCGATCACATACCCAGATCTCCACGGGTTCAAGGTCTGGGTCTGGTCTGTGCCATGAAAATTGGACGGCTGCAGATTGCCAAGGGGAAATATTGTCTGAGACTCAACCCACCTTTCTTCGTCCATTGCCCTGTGCATATTCAGCTCTATTCCCATCACGACATATTCCGTACACTACTCACTTCCTACCCGTGGGTCCCTCTCCCCGCAAGACTTCTCTCTCTTATACAAAATATACCGAACTCCGACTTCGTCGTCGACCTCGAGTAAGTCCGGATAACTGCTAGGCACAGCAGCTTGTTTCTTCTTCCACTCGGGATAGTCACTTGAAATAATCATTATTCAAACCAGGCTGTACGGTTGTACATATGCCACTTTCAAAAATACCATGTATTACCCATTACCTACCGGTTGACTATATAATCAACGAGGCGCTACTCTAGAACTACAAAGATTCCGAGAAGACACATAAGCGTTTTTTTTCTGCATGTTTAGTCAAGTCTTGGCTGCTTTCAGTTCTCAAGATATCTACCATAGTTCTGTTGAGATGAGACAAAAATGCGAGGATAGGATCAAGTGTATTAGTTCAAGGTGAGTCTAGATAGGTAGGTGGGTGAAGCCCATCCTATATACATAGATACAGGAGACCAAGGGTCGTATAGCCCCGTATTTCAAAATCGCCTCAAGGTTGGTTAGCGTAATGATAACGCGTCACTTTCCGGTCATCTAGATGGAGCTTGGTGAAGATTGTGGGTTCGAGTCCCGTGCTGGTCGTACTATGTTTTTACTTTCTGATTCTATTTTTGCGTGTCGGGATTGGGATTCGAGGAGACAACCTATTACATGGCAGGGGAGAGGGAGGGAGAGAATACCTATATATGCAAAAAAGGATACTTTGACGTCATGTCTGCAACAAGAGGCGTGACAGCCCCGCCTGGAGCGTTTAAAGATGCACTACATACGTGTCTGGCTCCGTTACAGGAGTTATGCTCTACAGAGATATGCATACTACACAAAACCAAGTGAAAATGAGCCTTCGTGTGGGCTGAGTATGTATCCAGCTGGAAGACTTCCCGGCCCTCCTTTCCCTTTCTCTATGATATCTCTCTATCGTTCAAGTTGAAAAGCCTGCCGTAGTGCAAAAATCGCTCGCTTGGGAGAACCATTATGAAATAAACCAAAGAGCTTGAAGCCCGAAACGCCGCCGTATGGATATGGTAGAGCGTCTCCAGAAACCAAACTCAAAAGCCCGCAACACTTTGCGCATCCTTTATTCTCATGCCGTTGATGCTTATCCTCCTGTTGATCCCCGAACGCCGAATGGTATAATTTAAACAGCCGTCCCTTTCCACCTTCCCTAACTTCTTACATAGCGAAATCCTCATAAGAGTGGGGCTTGTTTTCTCATACGCAGTGCTTTCAGTCGAAGATTCATCGACCTTGCGTGAAAGGTTTCCGTTTTGGGGTCCCACCATGCGTTTACGTCTATCGTGATGATGGCACGAGGAGAGTGGAGTTCCACGAGTCCACTGACGCTGATAGAGCCTCGCGGGGGGAAGTCTTTGAGCGGCCGCCACGTCTCGGCAAGTTTCCTCTTGAATGTCTCCCACGGTCCACTGGTATGTTCCTGGGTCATCTTAACCATATATATATCCTTCGCACTCTTTGGCTTGCCAGGTTCAGCGTTAGGAATCGTTGGAAGCACACCACTTATACCAGCGCCAGAGCCCAGCGCATCCCGCGCTGTGGTCGAGCTGGCGGAGCTTTTGTCGACAGGAGACATGGGGCTCCCGTCAGCAGCTTGGGTTTTTGTAGGGGGTGAGGACGACGATGTTTGTGAATCAGGCCTACTCGGTGGTTTCTTGGAATGTTGGTGAGTCCTGTCCATGGTCTGCTGAACGCCAACGAATGGGTTGGTCCTAGGTTCATATCCGAAGGCTTTGGCGACGTGGAGAGCATTCTGCTTCATTAATGCCCCCGAAAAGCTCCACAGAGAAATAGTTAAGGCCGAAGGCCAAAGAGTCCGTTGTAATCTGAAGACAACCAAGGAGTCGACGGGTTGCTCTGCGATCGATATGCTGTCATCGTCGATCTCCAGCCTGTGTAAGTTAGCCTTACGAAACTACGTAATTAAAACGACGGGAAAGACAGACCCTGTTCGGACGAATGTAGGTGGTGGCTTGTATGGATAATTCACGTCAAGCCAATGCTTGCCGACTGTGATATCCTTGCCACATCTTTGCACAAACATAGGATGCGTCGCAGCCGCACGCCGGACCATCTCAGCGAGATCGTCTATTTCTCGGAGTCAATCTCTGTTATTTGCAGAAACCTAGTTGTACTCACTCTGAATTGCCCTCACACGATCCAGATCCTTGCTGATCTTGATAAAGGTGCGCCACTCGGGATCTGTACTTCGGTAGGGCAGAGGCTCGACCATCTTGGTAGTACCAGGGAAAGGTATGAACAAGGGTTCAGACATTTCTTCGTCAAGTTCCTTGCGTTCCTTCTCGGTCATCTGGGCCACTTGCTCGTCCAGCCAGTTACCAAGCGTACCGAAGACATATCGCGAGTAGATCTGATAACAGCCATAGTAGATACCGGCGGCGATGAATAGGTTCCTATAGGCAAACAGTCAGAAGAGGACGTGGGATGGGGTACAGATATAACAGTATCTCCCGTACATGGGCTTGAACCATCTCCGGCGGATCTTGACTCGCTGTACGCGGACGATATGAGGCTGGGGCCCCTGTGTACCGTGGACCCGGGCGCCGAGGGAGAATATATTGGGTCGCGATCGGAGCATGCGCAACATCGTGGGCGAGGAGTGGAGGCACGCCAACAGCCGGCGGCCGGAGGACGTGACAACTACTAGTAGCCGGTGACTTGTGTCGAGGACGGGTCAACGGGCGCAAACACCATGGGGTGACGTTGTGGGAATACCGCGCGTAAAGTTAAACTGTCGGTCGATCTAGAAAAGAGAAGGAGAGAAAAAACAAAAGTCGCGATCGATCACCGAAGTGATGTACTCCGCCAGCGGCCGTTGAACATTCGGTCGTATAAAAATGTCGGACGCTGGAATTTTGAGCCTAGAGGGGGAGGAAGTGGCCTAGAAGTGCTTCTAGAACATAGGATGATCCACAGTTAAACTAGAAGGTTTCTGTACTGTCTAAATGGGGCAATACCCACACGAGCAGCACAGTGTCACTGACGACTGTGCACTTATCTCATCACCCCGGTCTTATCACGTGTTGATTACCTCTGCCTTTACCTTTTACCCTTACCTTCCAGGTATGTACGGAATACCTATAGGTACCTACCTAAGGTTCATCTCTCTGCATACCATACATACCTAAGGTAATAATACCAAGACCTGGGACTTCATGCCACCATCCTGACGAAAGCATCGACGAACCCAGCACTCCGCATAATGAAGCTGCACAGCTTCTTCCTACCAGCTCTGGCCGGTACTGCCGCCGCCAAAACAGCTCCTCGCCAGGCCGAGGCGTACATCCTCAGACAACAACACCCCCAAACCACGACATCGAATCCTCCATCCATACCGAACGAGCTCGCCGAAGCCATTCTCCTCCAACGCCTAAGCTCTCCCGAACAGCCCTCTACTCTCGGCCAATTACCAGAGTCACTGGGCCAAGATGAGGCTGTCTCGTTCATCAATCAATTTGGGAAACCATCGCCGCCGCTGTTTCAAGACGCCGATGCGGGTGAACCAAATCAACTTGTCATCGCTTTCTCCGGTATCACTGATGACAGATACGACGAGCTGAAAAAGACCATATCCGGCGTACCGCTCGCTTTCACGGCCCCCGAATTGAGTCAGGTATCCATTCGAGAGACTACGAGCTGTTCATTCGAGGCGTCAATCGAGCCCCAGAGCAGCAAGTGCTGGAAGGGAAAGACTCAATATCTGCACTACGATGCTACTAAGGTATGGCGTTTTCGCATCTATAGCCATTGCCACTAAAGAATAAATGGCTAACCTGTTCGAAGGACAAGAGCATCGTCGCCCAACTCGAAACAAACCTCGTATTCCTGAAGGCCCAGGCGTCGGAGGGCAAGCTGGAAACGACTATTCTCTTCCTGCCCCCCTCGGGTGCCGGCTCGGAGCAAGAGCTCCGCCGCCGCGACAAGACCGAGCAAGTCCTAACTAGCGGCGCGGCCGACTTTTTCAAAGACGTCAAAGCGAGCTCCAAGCCGGCCAAGTCCTTCTACGCCGCCGCCGACAGGCCGACCGTGATCCCGAGCTGCTTCGCGTCCCACAACGCCTGCATGACGGCGACGAACGAGTGCTCCGGCCACGGCGCGTGCATCGACAAGTGGACCGACAGCGAGGAGTCGTGCTTCTTCTGCCGCTGCAAGGCCGCCAAGGAGTACGACGAGGTGTACAAGAGGGACCTGCTGTACCAATGGGGCGGCGGCGCCTGCCAGAAGCGCGACGTCAGCACGCCCTTCTGGCTGTTCGCCGGCGTCACCATCGCCCTCGTCTCCACCGTCGCCTTCTCCATCGGCCTGTTGTTCAGCGTCGGCGAGGAGAAGCTGCCCGGCGTCATCGGCGCGGGCGTGTCGCGGTCAAAGTAATAATGCCATGTACGCTGGAGAAAGAAGAAGAAAAAATAGGAAAAGTGATGGACAAGATGTTTAAATATTAGTGGTTGTAGCAAATGATTATGGTCCAGTACGGAACGAAAGAGAGAGAGAACGCTGGGCAGGCAGGCATAGAAAGGCGAAGCGAATAAGACTCAAAACCCCTTAAACTCTTATGAACCGGGGTCGAGATTTAACACAGGTTGTTGATTATTGGTACGGGATTTGCTGTCGGTGTATCATACGTGTACTGGTACCGGAAGAGGGAAACTTGGGTGGTTTATCTGGTCCTTCTCTCTCTTTCTTTTATCTATAGCATCGTTCCTTCTCATCCCTCAGGTAATGAATGAGGGAAGGGCAAATCATGGGTATAATTTTTCTTTCTTTCTTTCCCCGTTTACCTAACAGTAGTATGTCACTGTACAAGAAAATAAAAGATCGAAATTAAGAAATAAAAAGCCGACGCCTTTTTTAATATTTTCCGTATTGGTAAAGTAACTAACTAACTAACGAAGCCCCTTTCGTGATTTTTCATTTTCTATATTTATTATCGATCTTGATTATACTCCGTTTGTACGCAGAAGACGGGAGTATATTTATATACAGGTAGAGGATATAAGATATTGAATAGGGGGTGCGCGTAAACGAGTATTTGTATGGAAAAGGGGGGGTATCATAATTCCACCTGCGACGGCTGCCCCACCGGCGTCGTGCCGAGGCTCTCCAGGCCCCTCTGGCCGACGGGCGTGTCACCGGCGCTTCCCACGGACCCGGCCCGGTCCAGGAGCGACTTCGCCGCCGCGACGCCGTCCCCCGCATCTCCTCCTGTGCCGTTGGACGCCGCGGCACCGGGCATCATGAGGGCGCGGTAGCGCTCGCCGGCCTCGTTCAGCAGCCTCTGGACCTCGGGCTCGCGCCTGAGCACGCTGTCCTTCTCGGCCTTGAGCTCCTGGATCTTGGCCCGCGCGCGGGCGAGCTCCTCCTCCTTGCGGCGCACGTGCGCCTTGAACTCGGCGACGACGACGCTGAGGTCCGGCAGCGGCGTGATCTTGGGCGGCACCTGGATGGCGGCGCTGGCCGCGCCGAGACGCCGGCGCTGCTGCTCCCGCTCCTCGGCCAGCCCGTCCATGCCGGCGCGCGTCTGCGCGGCCTCGTACGCGGCGCGCCGC